GGATAAGATATACATATATCTAGAAAGACAGGGTTTGATTAGGAGTAGTCAGCATGGCTTCATTTGTGGGAGATCAGGCCTCACAAATTTGTTAGAGTTCTTTAATGAAGTGACCAGGAAGGTTGATGAGGGCAGGGCAATAGACATAGTCTATATGGATTTCAGTAAGGCCCTTTGATAAGGTTCCACATGAAAGTCTGCTCTGGAAGGTTAGGTCGTATGGAATCCAGGGAGAGCTGGCAAATTGGATACACAGTTGGCTTGACAGTAGGAAGCAGACAGTAATAGTGAAAGGATGCTTGTCGGACTGGAGGCCTGTGACTAGTGGCGTACCTCAGGGGTCAGTGCTGCGCCAATTGCTGTTTGTTACCTGTATCAATGATTTGGATGAGAATGTACAAGGTATGATTCGTAAGTTTGCAGATGACACTAAAATAGGCAGTATCATGGACAGTGAGGAGGTTTATCAGAAAATGCAGCAGGATCTTGATCAGTTGAGGAAGTGGGGTGAGAAATGTCAAATGGAGTTAAATATAGATAAGTGTGAGGTGTTGCATTTTGAAAAGTCAAATCGAGGTGGGAGTTTCATGGTGAATGGTAGGGCCTTTAGGAGTGTAGTGGAACAGGGGGACCTTGGAATTCAGCTGCCCAATTCTCTGAAAGTGGAGTTACAGGTAGACAGAGCAGTGAAGAAGCCTTTTGGCACACTGGTTTTCATCAGTCAGGGCACTGAGTACAGAAGCTGGGAAGTCATGTTGTAATCGTACAGGACGTTGGTGAGGCCGCATTTGGAGTATTGTGTTCAGTTTTGATCATTATCATCATAGAATCCCTACAGTATGGAAACAGGCCCTTTGGCCCAACAAGTTGACACCGACCCTCACAGGATCCCACCCGGACCCATCCCCCTACAGCCCACCTAATCTATACATCCCTGAACACTACGGGCAATTTAGCATGACCAATCCACCTAGCCTGCATATCTTTGAACTGTGGGAGGAAACCAGAGCACCCAGAGGAAACCCACGCAGACATGGGGAGTATGTGCAAACTCCACACAGATAGTGACCCAAGGGTAGAATCGAACCCGGGTCCCTGGTGCTGTGAGGCAGCAGCGCTAACCACTGAGCCACCATGCCGCCCAAGTTTTGGTCACCTTGCTTTAGGAAGAATGTTATTAAACTGGAAAGAGTGCAGAGGAGAGTTACAACAATGTTGCCAGGATTTAACGGACTGAGTTATAAAGAGCGGTTGGACAAGCTAGAACCGTTTTCTTTAGAGTGTAGGAGACTTACAGAGGTGTATAAGATCATGAGAGGCAGGAATAGTGTGAATGCCCTCAGTCTTTTCCCAGGGTTTGGGATTCCAGGACTAGAGGGCATCAGTCTAAGGTAAGAGAGGAAAGAATACATGGGAACCTGAAGGGCAACTTTGTTTACACAGAGGTGGTACACTTATGGAATAAGCTGCCAGGAGAAGAGTTGAGGCGGCTACATTAACAATATTTAAAAGGCCTTTGGACAGATACACGGATAGGAAAGGTTTAGAAGGATATGGCCAAGTGCAGGGAAATGAGGTTAGTATAAATTCACATTTTGGTCGGCATGGACCAGTTTGGGCTGAAGGACCTGTCTCCGTGCAGTAGGACTCTATTACTCTAATTGCACCTGTCTTATTTTTGAGCTCCACCCATACTGCCTCAGTGGATAAGTCCTCCAGTACGTCCTCTCTGAGTGCAGATGTGACGCAACTCCTCCACCTCTTTTACCTCCATCTCTATCTCATCTAAAGTAACAAAGCCATGGAAAATTGAACAGCCAGTCCTGTCCTTCTCTCAAACAAGTCTCTGTAATGGCCACAACACTATAGTCCAATGTGCTGTTCCAGCTCTAAGCTCATCTGCCTTACCCATAATACTCCTTACGTTGAAATAGACACACTTCAGCCCATTAGTACCATCGTGTTCATCTATCTGTCTCTGCCTGTCCTTCCTTTCTGATTTACTGGTCCTAGCATCTACGTTCCCCTCAATCCCTCTACTTGGTGACCTGCTGTCTCGTTCCCAGCCCCTTCTCACTCTATTTTAAACCCTCCCAAGTAGCACTAGCAAACTTCCCTGTGAGGATATTGATTCCCTTTCAGTTTAGGTGCAACCCATCCCTCTTGTACAGGTCACCCCTGTCCAGAAGAGGTCCTAATGATCCAAGAACCTGAAACCCTGCCCCCTGCACCAGCTACTTAGCCACACGTTCATCTGTCTTAACTTTCTATTCCTTGCCTCACCAGCACGTAGCACGGGTAGTAACCCAGAAATTACTACTCTCAATGTCCCGCTTTTCAACCTTTTTCCTAACTCCCTGTACTCACTCTACAAGATTTCATCTCTCTTTCTACCTATGTCATTGGTGCCAATGTGCACACACATCTACAAAGAACAACAAAGAACAAAGAAAATTACAGCACAGGAACAGGCCCTTCGGCCCTCCAAGTCTGCACCGACACGCTGCCCATCACAACTAAAACCCCCTACTCTTCCGGGGACCGTATCCCTCTATTCCCATCCTAATCCTATATTTGTCAAGGCGCCCTTTAAAAGTCACTATAGTATCTGCTTCCACTACCTCCCCTGGTAGCGAGTTCCAGGCACCCACCATCCTCTGTGTAAAAAAACTTGCTTTGTACATCACCTTTAAAGCTTGCCCCTCACACCTTAAACCCATGGCCCTGGTAACTGACTCTTCCACCCTGAGAAAAAGCTTCTGACTGTCCAGTCTATCCATGCCCTTCATAATCTTATAGACCTCTATCAGGTCCCCCCTCAACCTCCGTCATTCCAGTGAGAACAACCCAAGTTTCTCCAACCTCTCTTCATGGCTAATGCCCTCCATACCAGGCAACATCCTGGTAAATCTTTTCTGTACCCTCTCCAAAGCCATCACATCCTTCCAATAATGTGGCGACCAGAACTGAACACAATATTCCAAACGCGGCCTAACTAAGGTTCTATAAAGCTGCAACATCACCTGTCAATTTTTAAACTCAATGCCCCGGCCGATGAGGGCAAGCATGCCGTATGCCTTGTTGACTACCTTTTCCACCTACGTTGCCACTTTTAGTGACCTGTGTACTTGTATACCCAGATCCCTCTGCCTATCAGTACTGTTAAGGGTTCTGCCATTTACTGTATATTTTCCATCTGGATTAGACCTTCCAAAATGCATTACCTCATATTTTTCCGGATTAAACTCCACCTGCCATCTCTCTGCCCAAGTCACCAACTGATCTATATCCTGCTGTACCCTTTGACGGTCCTAATCACTATCTGCAATTCCACTGACCTTTGTGTCATCAGCAAACTTACTAATCAGACCAGTTACATTCTTCTCCAAATCATTTATATATATTGCAAACAGCAAAGGTCCCAATACTGATCCCTGAGGATTACCACTAGTCACAGCCCTCCATTCAGAAATGCGCCCTTCCACCTCTGGCTGCTCACCCTCTCCGTTAAGAATTCCATGCAACCACTCAGAGACGTCCTTGACCCTGGTTCAAACCATCTTGGAGTCTTGAACACAGCCACAGAAACGCCTGTCTGTACCCCAAATTAGCAAGACTCCTACCATTATTGCTCACTTGGACTTTGCCTGACTCTGCTCCACAGCAGTTGTGGTGCCACAGGCCTGGCTGCTGCTCATATACTGCTCTGAGAGGCTATTCCCCACCACTCCAACCCACAACAGTATCAAAAACAGTATACCTGTTAGAGAGGGGAATAACCACAGGAGTCGCCCGCATTACCTGCCTGCCTCTTCTGGCAGTCACCCATCTGCCTGACTGATCCCGTAACTAGTGTCTATCACACTCTCTGTGCCCTGTATGCTCCTCAATGTGTCCAACCAAATAATCTGGTCTGTGAGGACTTGCAGCCAGTCACACCTCCCGCAGACATAGTCGTCAGGGACACTAGACTGCTCACTGATCTCCCCCATATCTGGCGGGTGGAGCACTGCCCTAACTGCCATCTCCGTCCCTTTACACTAAGGAAGATAAAAGAATCTTACCTTGCTTGCCTTTCTCACTGAAGCCCAGTATTCACCGAAGCCTGCACTTGTACCAACAGGCAGCACTTCCAACACACAGTAGCCCCTCTCAAACTATTATGCTGGTAATTTCTAATTAACTGGGCACTTAAATTACAATGCAGTCTTTACAAACAGACCAAGTACCTTCAAGGCTACAACAAACTTTCTAACAGTCTCTCTCAATCTCTCTTTTTTTTTGGCTAGAGGAGGAGGGCAGGATGGAAACGCTACAGTAACGTAATGTTTGGGGCTTACCATTCCTTGACACCGGGTTCATAGAATCCCCACAGTGCAGAAACAGGCAATTAGGCCCAACAAATCCACATGGACCCTCCAAAGAGCATCCCACCCAGACCCATTACCCTACCCTTTCCCTGTAATCCTGCAGTTCCAATGACTAATCCACCGAATTTACACATCCCTAAACACTATGGGCAATTTAGCATGGCCAATCAAAATCTTTGGACTGTAGAAAGAAACCAGAGCACTCAGCAGAAACCCATGCAGACACAGGGAGAATGTGCAAACTCCATACAGACAGTTGCCTGAGGGTGGAATCAAGCCTGGGTTGTTGGCGTTGTGAGGCAACGGTGCTAACCACTGAGCCACCGCGCCACCCATAAAAGTACAACCAAACAACCAGAGATCATCCTGGATTTGAACCCGGGACCTCTTGCATACTATTTGAATAGAAACACCAAAGTGAGAATCGCACCCCTAGATCAATAAGCCAGTTTCTTCCAGGTTCTTCCAACACGCGCCGACTTCTCCCAGAATTTTCTTTTATTTCGAAAAAGTACTTCATTCATAAAAAATCTCTTTGTATAGATACATTGTCACAAATGCAGTTTGGTTCTGCATAGTTGCATATCAAGTAAACAAACAAAACATTGGACTTTGACTCTATGCAAAAAATCAAAGGCCTCTCTTATAGTCGCAATACTATAATTTACATATATTTGAGGCACAAGGAGGGTCTGATAACTGAAGGGACCCCAATTTAACTTCAACAGGAAGGCCTCAGACTGTGGTCTTTTCCCACTGCGGCTTGGTAACAGCTGCCCCAAGCTTTAGTATGTCCATTATCACGTGGTTGTGGACCTCGGGACATGCGAGTCTGCAGTACTCAGTCAAGGCCAACTTTTTGTTTTGGAAGACCAACAAGTTTAGGGCAGACCAAAGAGCATTTTTCACTGAGATGATGGTCCCCCAGGCGCAGTTGATGTTTGTTTCAGGTGCATCCTGGGGATCAAGCATACAGTACAGAGTCCCGTGTCATGGAGCTGCACAGAACGAGCCTTGACGAAAACCACTGCATCTTTCTCCAGACTTCCTTTCCTGTGACAATCTCAACACCCCTGCAGCCGCTTTGAGGGCAGTGTGCGGTGGTGCAAACCAACTGGGCATACATGAAACATCTCACAGGTAGTGGCCTTCTCACCACCAGCCAAGCGATCTATCAAATGACTTTGACAGTCTGCTCAGGGATCCACCCTCTCCTTTTCCTGAAGAGTCTCTCGATCCTACGTGCTGACGACTTCCTGCCGGACTTGTGGTCAAAGCTGTTTCTCTTTGCAAGTTTCTCCAGACGACAGATGATACAGAATAGTCCAACTACTTCGAGCATTCCACAGCAACAAAGCCAGTCCCACCCTTCACAAAACCGGCAACAGGTAGAACCTCAGTCAATAGTCACACAATGTTTGCATACCGAGGAACAACACACAGCTTAATGCAGCTGCACACAAATGTAGCGGATGAGGGTGATGTTGGGTACATTCCTCTCCCACTTCTCCAGAGCTCTGTACATGGAGTCCCTGCAGAAACGGCTCATCTTAGGCCTCCAAATGAAGTAGAAGATGGCTCAGCTGATCGAAACTGTGTTGTTTTGGGGCTGGGCCAGATCTACACCGTGTACAACAACAGAAAGAGTGCATCACACCTAATGACCAGGTTTTTACCCACAATGGAGAGGGAGCAGTGCTCCAAAAAGATGTTTCTGCTTCACTTTGACGATGCACTATTCCCAATATTTTGCGTATGCCCCGTCCCCTCTGAACCATATTCCCATGTTGTTCAGGTATTCGTCTTACAGTGAAGGGGACAGAGGATTAGTTGACCTAGTTATCAAAGAACATTGTTTTGTTCTTGCTTCGATTTACCTTGGATCCTGAGACCACTTTGAACTGGTCGCAGATGCTTGCAACTGCGCACTTATAGCGGATCCGAGCAGAAAATGGCGACATTATCCATGTAAAGGGAGGCCTTGACCTGCAGGCCTCTGCTGCCTGGAACAGTAACCCCTCTCAGACTCACATTCTTCCTTGGAGTCAGCAAAAGGCTCTATACAACACACACAAAACAAGGCAAGCTGCCTGGCTACAGATTTGATTGGGAAGCTTTCCTGATTCTCAACTATTAAATAAGGATTCTCCCAGAATGCTCCTTGGTGGAGTCTCTCTACCACCCTCTGTTCGATGCTGTTCCTTCTGTTTATCACTGGGGAATTATTCGGCGCTATTCAGTCATGGCAACTGCGCCGATTTCTTCCAGAACTTTTTTATTGCAAAAATATATTTTATTCATTGAAGGAAATCTGTATGTACATACACAGTTAATGAAGCTGTTCAGATCTATGTCACCTTTGCTCACAGAGAAGAAAACAAACATTGGAATTTAGCATTGTTAAACTAAATTATAGTTCATAATTTAACGATAGGCATTTATCTGATGCATCGGGAGGGTCTGATAGCTAGATGGACCTCGTTATATTTTGGCAGAAAGACCTTACACGGTGGTCTTTCCCCACTGCATCTTGGCTGCAGCTGCCCCAAGCTTTAAAGTGTCCATCAGCACATAGTCCTGGACCGTGGAATGCGCCAGTCTGCCACATTCAGTTGGAGTCAACTCTTTCAATTGGAAGACCAGCAAGTTTTGGGCAGACCAAAGAGCGTCTTTCACTGAGTTGATGGTCCTCCAGGCGCAGTCGATGTTTGTTCGGTGTGCATCCCAGGGAACAGATCGTAGAGCACAGAGTCCCGTGACACAGAACTGCTGGGACGAACCTTGACAAAAACCACAGTTTTGGGGAAGGGGCCACACCTGTGCTACATACAACAGAGAGCACCTGATGACCAAGTTTTACTGCTTCACTTTAGCAATGCGCTCCTCCCAAGTTTTTATGCACATCCTGGCCCCTCCAAATCTTTTTCCCCAGCATCTTCAGGTAATCTGTCCTGATGGTGAAGGGAATGAAGGATCAGTTGGCCCAGTTTCCAAAGAACATGGCCTCCCTCTTGCCTCAATTTACCTTGGCACCCGAGCCCAGTTCAAACTTGTCACAGATGCTCGTAAGTCTAAACACTGACAGAAAACTGTAACATCATCCAAGTACAGGGAGGCTTTAACCTGCAGGTCTCCGCTGTTTAGTCGTGGTGACTGTGCCGAATACTCAGTATGCAGCTCAGTATGCAAGTGATTTGACATGCATAGAGTCCATTAATCGAATACTGGAACAATGATAGAAAAATTGTGCCCATCCTTTGTAACACGTGGCGTCCCAGAGAAATAGATCACAGAAGACGAGCCATTGTTTAGTTACTCCTGAAAGTCGAATGGGATTCAACATATTAGGACAGTTCCATAACAGACATCATCCAATGACCTGGCAAAAAAAAAATGATCCAAAACTTGGAAGATTGGACTGAAGAAACAACCTTTAGTCTACCATATACAACTTTCTTGTTCGATTATAGGACCACACCACATGCAAATTCAAAGAAAGCACTGGCAGAGTTGCTAATATTTAGTTTCTGCACCAGGCTCAGTCTGATCTTCTCAGACCTGGGGAGGGAGGTTGAAAAGTCATCAGGAACTCCAATGCCAAACCAAGATTCCACCAAGTGAGAGACAGAGTTTGATAAAAATAACAAAATTTTGTGCAAGCATCACAGAACTAGCCCTGCATAGGTAAGAGGCATGACTGATATGAGTTCACTACAGTGACTTATAAAGTTTGGGTAGGTGTGACTGTCCTGAATAAGCACGTGAACCATTTGAAAGCTGCAAATTCGCAGACTGTGTGGGAACATAACTTGCTCTGCCCCATGATCCCTTCAGGAATACTTGAGGTTCCCACTGATTCACCCTCTCCATCAAACATGAGAATCTGCAACAAGTTCGAACTGGCCTCAGGTGCCAAGGTAAATTGAGGCAAGAGGGAGGCCATGTTCTTTGGGAACTGGGCCAACTGATCCTTCATTCCCTCCACCAACAGGACAGATTACCTGAAAATGCCGGGAATACGATTCGGTGGAGTCCTCTGAATCAGAAGTATCTAAATCACATGACAGAAGTCGTTACCTCGACACTTCGGTCTCCGGAAGAAGGGAGTGAAAGTCTACCATGGCTCATAGAATATGACTTCCCTGATTGGGGTGGTTAATCTGATCTGATCAGGGAGGTCTGGCTGACATAAAAAGCTAAATGTCAGAGATACTGAGTTGCTGAATGCCTGAGAGTGAGAGGCAGTACTATTGTCAAAGGCTATGCATTTGTACAAAAAGTGTGAATGGCAATGGAATGCCTGTCTCTGAATGGTTATTTCAAGGTCCTTCAGCCCATCATCTGTACTGCCAAAAAACATACTACTATAGATAGTTCTGCTATAACGTGTGTTTCATTAACACGAATTGGCTAACATGATTGATGAATAGTGCATGTGAATAGTGTTTGTATAACGCGAACTTTCTGCTGTACAGGTATCACAATTTTCTACAGCGATTTCCCTATATTGCGAATTTCTATAGCACGAGGTCACGTAAGAATGCAACAATTGCATTATAGGAGAACTACCCGTACCTACCTTAGTTCTACTTCCCCACACTAGGCCCTTAGCCTTGAACGTTATGACACAAATGTTCAACCCAGAACTTTTTAAAAGGCTGTGAGGTTACCCGCCTTAACTACCCGCCCAGGCAGCGCATTGTATACCTCCACCACCCACTGGGTGAAAACATTTTCAAGGATTCTCGGTAAGCCAAGGTGGAAGAAGGGGGAAAATATGTGGCTGTAAGAGCTGCTCTCTTTTTACGGCAATTTCAGTGTTGGAGCTGATTTCCTCAAATTCTAGGAGCAGTAAATACAGTATTATAAGATGTTGCATTGCCTTGGAACTTTGAGGAAAAGAAAGATCAAAACAACTGCACTTTAAAAAGGAAGAAGAGAGACAAAGGCAGTGACCACATGGAAAGTGAATCAAAATGGAGCAGGAAACCCACATGGCTGTCTGACCCAGCAGTAACCTGCACAGCTAACTGCCTCTGCTGTTTGGTTTTAAGTATCTCTGGCCATCAGAGTTTGTCTAAGAAAATTTAACAAACGTCAAAATTCATAGCTGACCTTGGAGAAACCTGTATGGGGGAGCTCACAGCAGGGGGGCAGTTAAGTGGCTAGTTTTAAAGTGTAACCTTACTTTCTTATTGTAAATCTACAATAGTGAGTTCTTTTTTGATTATAAGTTTTTATTGAGATCTGTCTCCTGATTAAACTTTAAAAATATAAAAAGCATAGGTACTAAGTTAGCCTGGAGCACTGTTTTTAGAGCAGAAAAACTGCTATTTTCTGGGTCTTTAGATCGTTAAGGTACAAAGATGGCCTTTAGTAGAGTTAGTAGGAACTGCAGACGCTGGAGAATCCGAGACAACAAGGTGCAGGGCTGGATGAACACAGCAGGCCAAGCAGCATCATAGGAGCAGAGAGGCTGACGTTTCGGGCCTAGACCCTTCATCAGAAGAGGGGGAGGGGAAGGGGGTTTTGAAATAAATAGGGAGAGAGTGGGAGGCGGATAGAAGAGGGATAGTGACTCCCTTGTCCGCTCCACACTCCCCTCCAGCTCCACCACACCCGGCACTTTTCCCTGCAACCGCAGGAAGTGCTACACCTGCCCCCATACCTCCTCCCTCACCCCCATCCCAGGCCCCAAGAAGACTTTCCACATCAAGCAGATGTTCACCTGCACATCTGCCAATGTGGTATACTGCATCCGCTGTACCCGGTGTGGCTTCCTCTACATCGGGGAAACCAAGCGGAGACTCGGGGACCGCTTTGCAGAACACTTACGCTCGGTTCGCAACAAACAACTGCACCTCCCAGTCGCGAACCATTTCAACTCCCCCTCCCATTCCTCAGACGACATGTCCATCCTGGGCCTCCTGCAGTGCCACAACGATGCCACCCGAAGGTTGCAGGAACAGCAACTCATATTCCGCTTGGGAACCCTGCAGCCCAATGGTATCAATGTGGATTTCACAAGTTTCAAAATCTCCCCTCCCCCCACCGCATCCCAAAACCAGTCCAACTCGTCCCTGCCTCCCTAACCTGTTCTTCCTCCCACCTATCCCCTCCTCCCACCCCAAGCCGCACCTCCATCTCCTACCGACCAACCTCATCCCGCCCCCTTGACCTGTCGTCCTCCCTGGACTGACCTATCCCCTTCCTAACTCCCTACCTACACTCACCTTTCCTGGCCCCATCCCCGCCTCTTCGACCTGTTTGTTTCCTCTCCACCTATCCTCTCCTCTATCCCTCTTCTATCCGCCTCCCACTCTCTCCCTATTTATTTCAAAACCCCCTTCCCCTCCCCCTCTTCTGATGAAGGGTCTAGGCCCGAAACGTCAGCCTCTCTGTTCCTATGATGCTGCTTGGCCTGCTGTGTTCATCCAGCCCTGCACCTTGTTGTCTTTAGTAGAGTGATGTGCTTTTCCTGTTGGATGTGGGAGACTAGGGAGTGTTTCCTGTTACTGATGATTATGTCTGCAGCAAGAGTGCATGGTTGCGAATCCTATCAGATCGCATGGATCGGTTAGAGTGGCAGTTAGAGGCAATGAGGAATTTACAGGACCTAGGGGGTGTGATGGATGGCAGTTGCAGGGAGGAAGATAAACTGACCACACAGTCAGGTAAAAACCGAAAGAACCGCATATGCTGTAAATCAGGAGCAAAAACAAAGTTGCTGGAGAAGCTCAGCAGGTCTGGCAGCATCTGTGAAGGAAAAAACAAAGTTAACGTCTCAGGTCCGGTGACCCTTCCTCAGAACTGATGTTGGCTGGGAAAACATCAATTGAGATGCAGAAAATAGGGAGGTGGGTGGGATAGGGAGTAAACGATAGGATAGAGCCCAAAGAGAGAGAAAGACAGTTGGAAGACAAAGAAGTTGCTAATGATCAGGCCGGGAGGGTGAATAGTTGTTGATGGGGATTATTAGTGACTAACAACAGTGGGTGTGTAATAGCAGGCTATGTGGTAACAAGGCCTGGCGTGTGGGGTAGGGGGCTGGGACATGGGAGAGTTTAAGTCCTAAAATTATTGAACTCAATATTGAGTCTGGAGGGCTGTCGGGTCCCCAAGCGGAAAATGAGGTGTTGTTCCTCCAGCTTGTGTTGGGCTTCGCTGGAACACTGCAGCAAGCCAGAGACAGAGACGTTGGCCAGGGAGAAGGGTGGTGCGTTGAAGTGGCAGGTAACAGGTAGTTCAGGGTCCTTTTTTTGCGAGCAGAGCGTAGATGTTCTGCGAAGCAGTCGCCAAGTCTATGCTTCGTTTCCCCAATGTACAGGAGGCCACATTGTGAGCAGCGAATGCAGTAGGCTAGAATCTGGGAAGTGCAGGTGAAGTGTTGCTTCACCTGGAAGGTATGTTTGGGCCCTTGGATACTGGGGAGGGAGGAGGTAAATGGGCAGGTGTTGCACCTTCGCTGGTTTCAGGGGAAGGTGCCATAGGGCTGTGGGGACGTGTTGGTGGTGAAGGAAGTATGGACCAGGGTGTCCCGGAGGGAACGGTCCCTGCGGAAGGTGGGCAAGGGAGGGGAGAGGAATGTGTGTCTGGTGGTGGCATCTCGCTGGAGGTGGCAGAAATGGCGTCTGATGATCTTCTGGATGTGGACCCTACAGCCCTCCAGACTCAATATTGAGTTCCATAATTTTAGGGCTTAAACTCTCCCATGTCCCAGCCCCCTACCCCACACGCCAGGCCTTGTTACCACATAGCCTGCCATTACACACCCCCTGTTGTTAGTCACTAACAGTCCCCATTAACAACAATTCACCCTCCCAGCCTGATCGTTAGCAACTTCTTTGTCTGTCCAACTGTCTTTCTCTCTCTTTGGGCTCTATCCTATCGTTTACTCCCTACCCCTCCCACCTCCCTATTTTCTGTATATAAAGTGACCTTTTCCCAGCCACCATCAGTTCTGAGGAAGGGTCACCGGACCCGAAATGTTAACTCTGTTTTTTCCCCTCACAGATGCTGCCAGGCCTGCTGAGTTTCTCCAGTAACTTGGTTTTTACAAACAGTCAGGTAGATGGGTGACCTCCAGGAAAGGTAGGAGAGGCAGGCAGTTAATGCAGGAATCTCCTGTGGCTCTCTCCATCTCAAACAAGTATGCTGTTTTGGAAAAGGTAAGGGGTGATGGAGTCTCCGGGGAATGTAGCACTGACAGCCAGGTTTCTAGCACTGAGACTGGCTATAATGTAATGTGGAGTACGCCAGGTTCCAAGCAGTCGATTGTCGGAGGCACAGACAGACATTTCTGCTGCTGACAGTGAGAT